CAAACCCAAACTCTTCAAAAAAACAACAAATAGTCTTGCAGCACCTTAAAGACTAACAAAACATAGAGATGATATCATGAGCTTTCGTGGACACACCCCACTTCTTCGGCTACCCCTCTGAAGCTTCCAAACTCTCCAGACATTCCAGAGCGAAGAGGCTGAGCTTTGAGAATATCAGTGGCGGGGCAAGCAGGGGGAATGGGACTGCAGAACACAGATGGGCAAACCAGATAAGGAATAGTTGAATACAATGAGTGTTGCTCTGTCAGCAGCCATGAACAGCTGCTCATTTAATACGGCCCCATGTGCACAGAAAAGCGAGGCATGTAGAGTTCCTCAAAATGCATTTTTGGCCAAGGCTTTGTGTGATCTATGCTGTAGTTCACTAAGGACTTGTCTTCACTTACCCCGAGATCAATGCTCTGGAGATTGATCTGCTGGGGTTTGATTAGTGGGTCTTTTAAAGACCTACTGAATCGACCACAGATGGCACCTCCATCGACCCCGGTACTGCACCAGGTTGCAAAGAGTAAGGGACATCGATGGGAGTGTTACCTCTCTCAGTGGAGATGTTGCAGAAATTCAACTTAAAGTACACTGATTCCACCTATCCTAGTCTTGTAACTGGAGTTACATATCTGAGGTGAGGTTCCCTGTAAGCTGCATGGCTACATGAATGCCCAGCTGTTTAATGAGTCCCACCCAGATGCTCAGTGTTCCTTCACAGAGAGCTCTGCTGACTGGCTGCGGGAGAGGCCCTCTTGTTGAGCAGCAGCAGCTGCCTGCTACTAACAGAGGAGCTCGAACAGCAGTTAGGGAGAGGAGATAAGGAGGAGGGAAGGAGGGAGTAAGCTGTTAGGTAAGGGAGTTTGGGGAGATGAGGTGGAGGGAAGGAGTGGCTGGGAAGAGTCAGACGGGAGTGGAGTTTGGGGAGTCCCATCTCCTGGCTGGGCAGCCTGAAGAGGAGAGAGAGGCAGAGGTAGAGGCAGAAACCCAGCACTCTTCTCAAGCCTTCCTGGCCCTTTTGAAATGTACAAGGGTCTGGCTGGAGCTCTTGTACATTTCAAAAGCAGAATCGCAGCAGAAGTGGGGTGAGCGGAGACTACTTCAGTCCCCACACGCACCGTTTCCTGCTGTGCCTCTACCTACCCTGCCCCCCATGGAGACGGTGCTGGGGGGAACCAGCTTTTAAGTTGGCTCCCCCCAGCACCAACTCCTGCTTCGCTCCTTGAGGACTCTCTCTGATAGAGGCAGCAAGGGGGGGAAGGGGAAGTGACTAGTCCCATCACTAGTCGACTATCCAACAAGCTTCTGCTTCTCACTTACATCCCTAGTTTGGACAGTGCCTAGCATAATGGGTGACTGACATGGCTGGAACACCCAAGGGATGATGGTAATTCACAGAATAAGAAGAAGGAGAATTCTCTGCATCTTAGGGTCCTTAAACCATTTGAGGACTTCAGTATTTGAGATATAGATGAGAGGATTATTCCAGGAGGGGGTGGGTGAGATTCTGTGGCCTGCACTGTGCAGGGGGTCAGACTAGATGATCATAATGGTCCCTTCTGTCCTTAAAGTCTATAAGTCAATTTCTGGGACCTTCAGCCACCTTCAGATAAAAATGAATAACTCTTCCTGTATATACACCAGCCTCACAACCAGACCCGGATACAAAATGCTGAGTAAATCACAACAATTACCGTGCTGTTGCAGCCCGCAAAGCAGGCAGACAAGTAGGTGATCCCATCTGCCCCACAAACTGGAGTGAAGGAATCGGTTTGGCATTCACAGTTGTTATTGCAGGGGGAATACGGGTCCAAAGGCGAGGTCAGAACTGAGCTGCAAAAGAAGCAGAATTAGAAATGGATCCACAGTCAAATAACACAAGCTGGCTTTTCTGAGAAGCATCACATGAAGGCGACTTAGCCAATCACTGCAAACAAATGGAGAGAAGGGTGCGTGGGATGTTTGAGTACCAAAAGAAGAGACCGGAGGCCATACTTCCCTCTCTGACAAAAACACATTGAGGTTAATTATTTCCGGCTCCCACCATCCCCCGAGGGCTCTTCAGGACTATGCTGGAAAATTTAACATGAAGCACCGTGGGTGTTGTTTCAGCCTGAGCAGCCTTGGGATCAGGGCTCCAGGACAGGAGAGGCTGTACTTCTCCAGCATAATGAAGTAACAACAAGTTGTGGAGGTGCCGACATTTTCATCCTCAAAGAGATATTGCCTCATGCTGAGTAATGCTGGAAGAATACAGAAACTATCTGTGTTAGGACCTAGCTCTGCAGGGCCTTCAGGGTCCTAATACCCTGCCTCAAAATAGATCTTACGTACTGCCGGGAGAAAACACTTCTTGCTTATCACACAGGCTACCCCTTGGTGTATAGAGTTCAACTCCTAAATGCCCATGTAGGCCACCTCAGTAAAAGTGCCCACAGTTTCCTGTATTTTTATGGATGCTTAGCACTTCCAAAGATCAGGCCAGAATGGATCCATTTATTTCCATCCTTCATGATATCAGAATCTGACCTTGTGTTTCTAGCCACTTAAGTCAGTTCCAGTTAAGCTCAGTGGAATCTGGCTCTCCCTCCAACATGTTATTTTTCTGAGTCACCTCTAGGCATTTCTATAGACTGGGCCTAATACAACCATGGTGGAAGTGGGCACTTCCAAAGATCAGGCCAGAATGGATCCATTTATTTCCATCCTTCATGATATCAGAATCTGACCTTGTGTTTCTAGCCACTTAAGTCAGTTCCAGTTAAGCTCAGTGGAATCTGGCTCTCCCTCCAACATGTTATTTTTCTGAGTCACCTCTAGGCATTTCTATAGACTGGGCCTAATACAACCATGGTGGAAGTGGGCACACCTGTGTAGGGAATGAATGTACTCTAACTATTTTACTCTAAACTCTTACTTACTCCTGGGTGAGATAAGGTGGATGAGGTAATGGCAGTAAAGAGAATTTGGGCCCATAAAAGATATTACCTCACCCACTTTGTCTCTCCAACATCCTGGGACCAACATAGATGCATTGATACGTCATACAACTTAGTCCTACAAAGACTCAAATACCAGAGGTTTAGTTAGGGTTGGTCCTGTCTAGAGCAGGGGGTTGGACTAGATGACCTCCTGAGGTCGCTTTCTACCCTCAGCTTCTATGATTCTATGATTCACTGACGGGCGGGGTGCAATAACTTAGTAAAATAGTGAAATATGAGCAGATAAGTTCAGCTAACACCGTTGTGCTACACAGCAGTAACATGGGGCTGGAGGTGAGACATGGAGTCAGAATTCTCTTTATACTCACTTGTTTCCATAGGGAACAGTAACCCCAGCTACAGGCCCTGTGTCGCAGCCCAGGAACAAGAAAGAAACATAGCAAGCTGTGGACACCAGATTAACCAGCATGGCCATCCTGATGGCTCCTAGAGCAGACAGGCTGAGCTTCTTCACCAGGAGCCCTCCCAGGAATATGCCCAGACATGCGCATGGGATCGCTGTCATCCCTGCAAGAGGAAGACAAGGTCAGGAAGAGGCACAAGGAGAAAGTGGGAGCTGAAAAAACACACTGCATGTTGAAGCATTGTATTTTCCAGTGACTATATGCATGTGCGCCTGGTGGGGAACCTCTAAGGACTAAGTAGGTCACCACTCTGCCCCAGCTAGCACAGAACTGCCCCCCTACAATGCTTTGTCCAGAGACTTTCACTGATTTTCCTGAAGGAGACTAATCTGATCTCATGCAAGATTTCCAGAAGTGACTAGTGACTGTGGAAACCCAACATGAGACACTTTGAAGGGGCTTTTTCTTCAGCGGGGAGGTGAACATCTGGCTTTTTAATCAAGTCTCAAGTTTGGTATTCAACATCACTAGTTGCTTCTGAAAACTCAGGCCCCTCTACACTTCAGGAAAGTTCTCACAATATTCAGCCTCTTTTTGCTCACTTTCAGCCCATCACTGCAGACCATCCCCAAACCTACAAGAAGGTCTCTGGATTCTGGGGCCTGCTGGAGCAGCAGGTGGAAAAATTTCAAAGCAATTTCATTTAAACTAACAAAAAAAAAGGAGGTTTTCAAAATTAGTTCAATAGAAAAATGCATAGCAATTGGGTGCAGGCTCTGCAGCCTGTGTGCTATTCCTTTTGATATTAAACCAGACTAATTTGATGCTGCCAGTGTATGGTAGGTCAAGGCAAGGGGCTCATTAGGATGGTGATGATTGCAGGTTATTCAGAATCAACACCTAAATGCAGGCCTTTTGGAGGGGCAAGGAGGGCCATTTGGCCCAGGCTTAAGGAGACAAAGATGCCTCAAATTTTGACATTTTTCTACCAAGTCATCTGCATTTGTTATACACCCTGCAGTTATAACAGAGACAACGAACAAAGCTATATATACTTGCAAAGAATTGATTTAAATCATTGTGGGACCTCGGGTCTTTGCCAATTTTTTGGTCACATCCGAGTTTTCAGCTGCGTGACTGGAGACAGGAGTCACTTCTGTAATTAGTGATTCTCCGTTATGAAATGCTGTTTACAGTCTCTGCATAGTTTAGAGGTTTTGAAAGTCATCATTAATCTGTTACTGTAAATGATTTTGCTTGGTCTCAGGGTGAGTTTAACCTTTAAATTTGATGTTTATCTCTGCATAGGAGATTTTTGTATTCCTGCTTTTTCTTATGGATCTTCATATACAATAACCGTATCAGGCTCAGCTGTAAGCTACCTCTTTGTCCAGTTTTAGATTCACCTTTAAAGGCTTTTTTGTGATGATAAAATTTTAATTCTAGTTGTTTAATAAACATTATATCTAATCTGGCAATCTCCTCATGTTCATATACATAACAACACACTAGTTATTAAAGGAATTTAAAAACAGGAACATGTTAGCAGACAAAATTACAAGACTTTGCAATATGGTTATAAGGGCCATAATAAATAATACCCCAAACTATTATTATATAATATTCATTGTGAAGTATATGCAATTAAATTATGTATAACCAATAGCCTTTAGCGAATTAATTTATTATGTGTTACTGTGTTTTAAAAGAACTCCTTTATAAAAATGAAGCAAAGATTTGAAAGTGCTGCAATAAGAGATAGCAAAAGCAGCAGAGTGAAGCAGCCATTAAGAGTTTACAGCCAATAACACCATTTCTCGTAGAAAAGACGCCTCAGCCATTAGACAGTGACCATACTGACAGTGACACTTCCTGTTCTGATCATGAAAACTTTAAACCCACAAATGACATTTCAATGCCACTGCCTCAAAATGAGGAGGTCATTAATCAAGACACAGAAATGCCAACAATAGCGAAAGATGCAGAATCTACACTCAATTTAGAGACTGTGCAGACAGCAAATGAGGACCCCAGAGTTGCTGTGCAGCAGGAGCAAGAACATATAACTAGCACAGGACACAGTGTAAGAGCAGTGGCATCAGAACCTGATATTGGATTTCCTGAGAAGAACAATGTTGCTCAAATGCAGTTGTTTCTCAAAGTTAGTTGTTTTCAGATTCCAAGTAATATACTGAAAGATGTTGAAAATAATGCTTTTCCCACTCATCTGCTGACAAAAACTTTTCCAGAAGGTTGGAGCATCAGTAGATGTTGGAGGAAGTTGAAAAACCAAATACTTGCACATGAAACTTCAGTATTGCATAAAGATAACAATGTTACATGGAAATCCGCTAGTAGAGCAGCACTAGCTGACAGTTCTATTGAAAACTTACTCCTGAGTGAAACAAATACAGAAACTGATAACTGGAAAAAACTCCTTGAGAACACATTGAATGTCTTTTTTTTTCTTTCTGAACGGGGCTTGGCTTTGTTTGGTTTCAGTCAATGTATCGGTGACCCTACAAATGGAAACTTTCTTAGTATACTTGGGTTCTTAGCAACTATGACACACTTTTATCAGACCACGTTAAGTGTGTTTGTGAATTACAAGAGAGCGCAAAATGCATGCAAGTCCATTATCTGTCTACCAGAATACAAAATGTGTTTATTGAACTGTGTGGGACATTTGTGCAAACAACCATTCTTGAAGAGATACAACATGCAAAGTACTTTTCAATTATTATTGATGCAACTCCAGACTGTTCTCATAAAGAACAGATGACTTTGATTGTTTGATATGTTAAATTTGCAGGAAGTTCAAAGGTTTCAGTTGAAGAGTGATTCATTTTGTTCAATAATTTCATGAAACAAAAATGGAAAAGAAATTGCTGCTCCACCGCTCATGTATTAAAAATTCTGGTAGGCTTCAAATTAAATGTTCACGTCTGCATTGGCCAAGCCTATGACAATGGATCCAATATAGCTGGGAAGTACAAAGTACAAGCAGTCCTTCTTGAGCAAAATCCAAGCTGTATTTTCTCCAATGATGGCAACCACATACTAAATCTTGTCAGCGTTGATTGCTCTGAATTGTGCAAGGAAGCAATCACATACTTTGGAACAATCCAGCAATTGTACCTCTTCAGTAGCAGTCCTCAAAAGTGGGAAATTCTGAAGCCGCATCTGCCTGTTTTCCTTCATGGCATGTTGACAGCGAGATGATCAGCACGAATCGATGACGTTAAACCAGTTGCACAGCATTTTGACTCTATGAGAAAGGCTTTAAGTGAGCTTGAATTTCTTACTCTCACAACACAGGCTCGCACTGAGCTTAAGTCAATTCAGAAGTATACATTCAAATTTGAATGCATTTTAATATTGTCCATGTGGAATGAAGCTTCTAAAAATGATCCACGAAACTAATCTTGTAAATGAAGCATGCAATGCTACATTAGATGTTAAAAGGGATAACCCTGAACAACTTCTTAAAGATATTCAAAAGATTTGTGATCAATGGGATACAATCCTTTCTGAGTCCAAATCAGTAGCACAGGGTATTGACATTTTATCTGAGTTTTCCACCAATCGCAGACTAACATCCCAATCTGATGCAGAAAGGCACTATTGAGTCAAATTATTTTTTGTTATTATTGACTGCTTCAAATCTGGTCTTACATGTTGATTTGAGTCACTGCGACAAATTTGTACCCTTTTTGGATTCCTTTGGGAGTTTAGAAAACTAAGTGATGAAGATCTATATTCAGCAGCTGAACAATTTCATCAAAGGTACAACAATGAAATTTCAAGAGACCTCTGTGATGAGATCATCTTCCTGAAACACATACATTCCACCAACTTTAAATTAGACTGCCAACCAAAACAACTGCTTCAAGAAATATTCCATCTCGGCCTGTTGACTGTATTTCCTAATATCAAAATTGCATTACGTATTTTTGTCAGTCTCCTTGCATCAGTGGCTATAGGTAAATGCACAGTCAACGTGTTAAAACAAGTAAAGAACTATCATTGTTCTACAATGGGACAGGACTGTTTGAATGGGCTCACAATGCTTAACATTACCAGTGATGTTGCACGCAAAATAGATTTTTCTTCAGTTATAAATGAGTTTGCACACAACAAAGCCAGAAAAGCATTGCTAAAATGAAGAGTTTTGCTTGCAGTGAAAACTCACAATTAAAGTTACAATTTTAATATACATGCTATTGATATAATGACTTAATTGTTAATAAATAAATGTCTCGTGTTCATTGTCAGATATTCTTTTGGTTTTAGTATGAACCTGTGGATGAGAAGTTAGATACATCGGGGGGCTGGTGCTGGACTGGGGTCTCCAAACTCAAAGTGGTCTGGGCCTCTGTCATCTCTGAGATGGCCTGCCTAGATGCCTTAACTGAGTGCTGTGGAGAGGACGACTGTCACAAAGAGAGCACTGGCACTTGGTGGGAAATAAGTGTCAGGAGCAGGTGAATAAAGTGCCTCTGTTCATATCAGTGTCCTTTCGTATAAAGGAGGGAAGAGAAGAAGCACACAGAGTACAGGAGACAGCAGCAGGATGGCTCCAAAATAAAATGTTTTTGAAAAGGTGACCAGAATGCCTCAGATGGGCTAGAACAACTGCTTGTGGCTCTTTCATTGACTGTGTTTCCATTTGTAGGGGGAGTTGGAAACTCAGCTGGGGAACTGGAATCTCCATTTCAAACTGCGAACAGTGGGCAAGTCTAGCCCACCTGAATCATGAGACAGGCAGTTCCGGGGGTAGCACTCAGTCAGACAAGAAGCTCTACTCCCATGTTCCCAGGTATCTCCTCTAGCATTGTGGGCGGCAAGCTTGCACCTCTGCTTTAAGTGAGGAGCTGTAAAGTCTCTGCTCTTTCTGTAAGAATGAAGACTATCATATCTTACAGAAAGAACTGGCTCGAGATTAAACAATTTCTGCGAGCACTGGAGGAAGGGGCATGGTTTAGAGCGTCAAACTCGGGTCTGGGAGGAAGGACTCTTGGGTCATGCTTTTGCTCTGCTGATGATGTAATCCTGGCCATTTCACTTGGGGCCAAAATTTCTCATTTTAGGACTGCTGAATTTTAGATAGTGCAGGACTGATTTTCAAAAGTACTGAGCAGCTCCTCCAGTTGGCTTCAGCAG